GTATGCTTTTACAGAAGGAGATAGCATCGTTGAGGCAGAGGCTGATCATAATGTTTTCAATGTGGTAAGTCAGGACATGGAATTAGACGTTCCTCAAAAATACCAAGCAGCAGTCAAGCAGTTAATTGATAATTACAAGCCGTCTAAAGTTGAGCGAACCTGTCCTATAAAGATGACAATTATCCCTAATTGTAAGAATATGGCATTCAGAGAGCAACCAAGTCGATATGCAGCAGCAGAGAGAGAGATAATTCGCAACCAAGTAGAGGAATGGTTGGAACAGGGCATTATACGAGAATCCTACTCTGACGTGGCGAGTAAAGTTGTTTTAACCAAAAAGAAAGATAAAACGTTGAGGCTATGCATAGACTACCGTGTCTTAAATACGATGGTACTGAAAGATCGATTTCCGGTCCCGCTTATAGACGAAGTTCTCGATAAGATGCAAAGCGCGAAATATTTTTCTGTCTTCGACTTGAGGAATGGATTTTTTCATGTCGAAATCGATGAGCCCAGCCGCAAATATACAGCTTTCGTGACAAAAGAGGGACTGTTCGAATTTAATAGAGCTCCATTTGGCTATTGTAATTCGCCTGCAGTATTCGTAAGGTATGTCACATATATTTTCCAACAGCTGATAAATGAAGGTATTATGGAAATGTATATCGACGACATAGTTGTTTTTGGGCGAACAGCCGAAGAGTGTCTAAGCAACATCCAGCGCGTATTGAAACAGGCGCAGCAGTATGGACTCGACATAAAATGGTCAAAATGTCACTTTTTGAAGGAGCGTATCACTTTCCTTGGTTACGAGATAGAAAATGGGAAGATATGGCCTGGGAAAGAAAAGGTAAAAGCTGTAAAAAAAATTTCCGATGCCAATTAATATCAGAGGTATTCAGGCGTTTCTTGGACTTACTGGCTATTTTCGCAAATTCGTAAAAGACTACGCTTTTATTGCCAAGCCATTAACGGAACTGCTGAAGAAAGATGCCGTTTTTAAGATAGAAGGAGCACAAAAACAAGCAGTAGAACAACTAAAAGCAGCACTAATAGAGGAGCCAGTGTTGAAGATTTGGAGTCAAAGCGCCAAAACACAGTTGCATGTGGATGCATCAAAACATGGCTTTGGTGGAACATTGCTGCAGCAGCACGATGGTAAATGGCACCCCGTTTTCTACTGGAGTAAGAAAACAACACCACAAGAGGAAAAACTTACCAGCTATGTACTTGAGGTAAAGGCAGCATACCTAGCAACAAAGAGACTCCGCCATTACCTGTTAGGAATAGAGTTCGACTTGGTAACAGATTGTGCGGCTTTTAAACAAACGATCTCCAAAAGAGATATTCCCCGAGAAGTAACGCCGTGGCTGATGTACTTGCAGGATTTCACCTTTAAAGCAGAGCATCGTGCTGGAAGCAGAATGCAGCATGTTGACAGCCTGAGTCGTTTTCCGGTGATGATCGTGACTTCCGAAGTTAATGCACGGATCAAAAGAGCACAACAGAGTGATTAACACTTAATGGCAGTTAGCGAAATTCTAAAGCAGAGACCCTATGCAGATTATGTTCTCAGAAATAACCTTATCTTTAAGCAGGTAAATGGCCAAGATCTGTTGGCAGTACCAAAATGTATGGAAAAGGAGATAATAACAAACTCACACAATTTTGGCCACATGGGAGCGCAGAAAACAATTCACGCAATTCAGCAGGACTTTCATATACCACACTTGGAGAAGAAAACGAAGCAGGTAATTTCCAATTGTATCGAGTGTATCACCCATAATCAGAAATTGGGGAAACAAGAGGATTATTTGCACGCTATCGACAAAGGCGACACACCCCTCTCAACGTTGCATGTGGATCATTTGGGTTCATTGGACAATACATCGAAGAACTACAAGTATATATTTGCTGTCGTAGATGGTTTTTCAAAATATACTTGGCTATTTCCTACAAAGTCGACAAATGCGGAAGAAGCTATCAAACACCTGGAATCATGGGTTTCAATATTTGGCAGCCCGCAGAGAATTATCAGCGATAAGGGAGCGGCGTTCACATCGCATTCATTCAAGGAATTTTGCGCAACGAACAATATTGATCACGTCGAAACAACAGCTGGCGTTCCAAGGGGTAACGGACAGATTGAACGGGTTAACAGGGTTATCATTTCAGTACTCTCAAAAATGTCAGCAGCGGAACCAGCAAAATGGTATAAATACACATCGCAGGTGCAACAGGCCATAAACTCTCACATACATGCATCAACTAGATACACGCCGTTCGAAGTCATGTTTGGTGTACGTATGAGAAACAACTCCAGTGCTGAGCTTCTGAGGATCCTTCAAGAAGAGATGCTGTCGAACCTGCAAGAAGAACGTAAGGAGATTTGGCAAGAAACCAGGCGCCAAATCGAAAAAGCCCAAGCTGCTTACAAGGAGAGTCACGACAAGAAGAGAAAGGGGCATCATGGTTATCAGCTAGGCGACCTAGTAGCCATTAAGGTGACGCAGTTTATAACTGGAAGGAAGTTATCCAACAAATATATCGGCCCGTATGAAGTCATTCGAGTGAAACGGAACGGCAGATATGATGTTAAGAAGGCAGCTGAATTTGAGGGTGTACTACAGACCTCTACAAGCGCTGACTTTATGAAGCTGTGGCGCTATGCTTACTGCGAGGAAGAAAATGAAGAGCAGAGTGAAGAGGAGGAGACATCTGGGACAGATGTTTTGCAGGATGGCCGAATGTAAAGTGGTAGTATTGGCGTGAATCGATAGTCCTCACTCTGATCGCCCACCACCAAGGATTGGTCCATCTCAAAGTCGTCGTCGTTGGTATGTCAGTAGTTGGTCGGCAGATGTCAGAGAGTAAAGTTGAATAAGTTGTTTCTAAAGTCGTCAAAATCAGCAGTTCTGTTAATTACATATAATCAAAACCTTTAAACATTATACATTCATATATCCTACTTGTGTACAATACTCAATAAAACACTGATAATATAAAATTATCTTACATACATTTTTGAGCATATGATTTTTTAGAATTTTAGAATTTAAAAATAAATTTTACATTTTACATTTTTCTGCTACATCTGCTATCTACATCTACAATGTATATTCTTCATCTAATCTGTAGATTATACATGTACCATTTAGATTCTACATCTCCTCCGCTAGGGGTTGCTCGCGCACTGAACGCGGCGAGTGTGCGAGCGAGAAGGAAAATGAGTTGCGTTGTCGTTGGCGGGATGGGGAGGGGAAGCAACTGAAAATTAATTTCTTCATTCTGGCTATAATTATGATCCGATCTGATTCAGATTCGGCAGTCTCGTAGATATGGTCATTCTCTACGATACTGCGTTTTTAGTTTTATCGTATCTTTAAAAATGTGCCTGCCACAGATTTTCGTCCTTTGTGTTGGCGGAAGGGGGCGGGGCGAAATTTTGAACAACACTTGTAGCAGTGTGATATCACATGAGTCTGGAAACCAAATTTGGTTGCCCTAGCTCTTATAGTCTCTGAGATCTAGGCGCTCAACAAGACGGACAGACAGACAGACAGACAGACATGGCTATATCGACTCGGCTATTGATGCTGATCAAGAATATATATACTTTATGGGGTCGGAAACGTTTCCTTCTCTGCGTTACACACATCCACTTTTACCACAAATCTAATATACCCCTTAACTCTTTTTTGAGTACGGGTATAAAAATTATATCCTATGACCTCTATTTTTTCGTGTATAGGTGCATTAATTAGGCGTCGTTTAAGGTATTGTTCATTAAAATCAATGGAGAAACTTTGAAGCTAAAATTCGTTAGCAAAACCTAAAAAAAAAAAAAAAAAAAAAATGAACATAAATATCTTTTTGAAGGTTGCGGGCCCAACTGCCAATTGGGAATTGGTATCGCGATCAGGTACCACTTTTCGACTTTTCCTGAGTTTTTAAAGTCAATATTTCGTACAAAATACCGCACAAAAATCATAATTTTTGCATTTCAATGCTTTATATTTTACAGACGGTAAGCTGAAATCACAAAGTTTTTGGGCTTTACTTCTAGCTGTTTTGATTATCTTTTCAAAATAGCAAAAATTTTTACAACCAGACGTAAAAAAAAGGAAGCGCTACCTCTGAAAAAAGCTTAAAAAAAATATCAGTTTTCAAAAATTCTTAAAAAAAAGTTCTGCCATGGAAAAAAAAATATCATCAAACCATTTCTAAGCCCCAAAACTTTAAGAAATTTCGCATGGCGTTATGTATCTTATTCTTATATTGTCTTTGCTGCTACCTTTTCAAAATTTCGCCCCGCCCCATTTTGAAACCTGAAGAATTGGATCGCGGAAAAAGATTTGAGTCCAACTAAAATAGAACTATGTTGAAACTAAAATGATTTTTTATTTAAAAATCTTTTTTTAATTCAAAATCCGCCCTCGTATTTATACAATAAATCCTCCTTACTTGAGGCCTCCCCCTCGCAAAGTACCGGCTTATCGAGATGAGGGGGCTCATCGGCGCCATTCGGCGTAAGGCGTCGAATCCTGTGCCCAACTCTATTTAGTATCCTGTAATACCACAAGTAAAATCGTACGCGAGACAGCGGACACGCTGAACTAAGTCAGATCACATTCATTCACACTCACGTGGGTCCTGGATCACACAGACATCGCGGAAAACGAGAGCACTGACGAGTGTTCCAGACCCGTATCGGTCAAAAACAAACGGAAACAACTGCGAGACGTCGTCTCGCAGATGATGGGCCGTGCAAGAACGATAGTAGAGTGGCGGTGGTACCTGTCCCCGCTTGTGGGATCTCACGCTCGCTCTGGCCCCATTGCGACCCTAAACGCACCAAGGTCTTCTGAGTGATCTCGACGGCGGTCGTGAAGCCCAACTATTTGCAAGTCTATCGAACAGATCCGATATTTGGGGCTTTTGGTGAAAACTTAGATAAAGATAAACGCACACGTCCATATTTTTAAAGACGTTTTACTTACCGGAAGCATCGGCGACTCATTTTGGGCAATGTGATAGAGTGCGGACATTGCATTCATGTTGAAGTAGGGCGGCTTTCGTTCAGCCAACTCAATGCAGGTGATGCCCAGAGACCACACATCTACCTTGCCATCGTACTGGCCCTCGTCCATAGCCAGGATAACCTCGGGAGCCATCCAATAGGGGGTACCGACGAAGCTGTTGGCGGGGCACTTGATGGCCGCACTTCCGAAGTCAGCCAGTTTAACGATACCGTTGTCTGTTAGTAGGATGTTTCCAGCCTTTATGTCACGGTGGATGCGACCGAGAGAGTGCAAATAACTCAAGCCACTGAGTACACCCAGGCAGATGGCAGCGATTTCGTCCTCGTGCAGAGGTTTCTTGTGCACCTCGATTATATCCGAGGCGGAACCCACACAGTACTCCATCACTAGCCAGGCGGTTGACTCGCGTAGGTAGCAGCCTTTGTATTCAATAGTATTCGGATGATTCAACTGACGTAGGAAGCTGTATGGTGTTAAGGAGTTCATAGATTAACGAAACTAAATTGGAGCTGTTATTTTTACCGGATCTCTTTGAGTATGTCCTGCCACTTCTCTTGACTTTGTTTACCCGTATACGACATCTTCTTGATGGCCACAATCTCCTTGGTGAGATTGCAGCGGGCATAGTAAACGGCACCAAACGATCCATGGCCGATCTCACGCAAATCCTCAAAAATCTTTTCCGGATCATGCTTGTTGAATAGATCGGCTATTTCCGGATCTTTGAGACTACCAGGGCGTACCGAAGGCATAACTGTCTATCATACTCCAGCCACCCAGCTCCAACTGACTTAATATTGCTCTCTATCACGCCTTTCTCTTGTTTTCTCCTTTTATTTGTCTGCAAAGAAAAAAAAAAGGGATATGATCCTGGAATTTAGTCAAGGTGGAAAAAACGGTTTGCGTTCCATACAGGAAATATCATTTAATGTTATTGAATCTTGCTCTTTGTTCTCCTGATTCTATTGCGCTTCATTAATTAACATTATCAGAATAAACTGAAGTCTAGGAAAAAAAGGGGTGGGATATCAAGCTCCAAAGGTGAGAGTTACCAATTTGGGTGTCGACCACGTATGCTTTGAGCAGTTAGCTGGAAAAAAAACTAAGTGATTCAAGGCTTAGTTCGTTTACATTCTTTTCCACATATTCTGACATAAATCTTTCAACATTCCCCAAGCAGCACGCCCCACTTATCAAAAATATTTTTATTGTTGGATTTATCATGTTATTTGTATTTTTGTCTTTTTTTATTCTGGCCTACTAAGGCGTTGCGGCGCTTTAAAAATTGAATACCGACGAAGATTGAACTATTTTGCCTTACATACATAAACCATTCTAAAAATGTCGGTAATTGTATTGAATAAAAAAGTAAAGAGTGGAGTACACACATGACCGGCTAGTTCTGAATATATGCGATGGGGGCACGGAATTTCATAAAAAGTGATGCGATTGCCATGTTGCAGATGCAAAAAAAAAAAACCACACACACACACATTGCGAAGTGTTGGACGCGAGTGCGTTCGTCCATTAGCGCTACCGATAAAGTAAATTTTAGAAATCCATCGTAAAGCTGCATGAAAAAACTTAAATTGTTAACTTTGGAGCATTTATTATGAAAAAGTATTGCCTTTTTGTTTATATCCCATAATTTTTGTAGAAACACGCCTTATTTTCCTGAGCACCGTCTTGCACAATGAGCAGCGATGTCGCCCTCACAAAGACGGGTTACAAATACACACTAGCGTGGTCATACATCAATATAAGTATGTATGCGCATAGATACGTAATTATCTATATTCACTTGCTGGTCGGTTGTTGTTTTGCATTTTATATTCCTTTTGAGACAACCATAAATTACATTTAAATAATATTTAGTTTGGCTGCTTTCTGAACTAATTTTTGTATTTAATGTTTTCTTTTTGTTTTTTGGTGCAGACACAACACCAAAATATAAACACAAAAAGTAAAGGTCTCAGACGTCATCGGCGATGCTTCTTTTCTTATTTTAGCTGCTTGTTTAATAACTTTGCGACTGCATTTGTAACTTATTATGTATGAATTATCTGCAACGATATAAAACGCTGAATTTCTGTGTTATTTCTATGCAAGTTCAGTTGCATTTGCATACGTAGTAGCACACGGAGAGCAAATGAATAGATGTACATACATATACAACATCAATGTATTTTGATTATTTTCAGTATCTCAGCTCTTGTATAACTTAACGCCGTCAAATTGGTTGCTGAGTGTTATCACAAACATTACACAATTCAAATTTAAGCAGGTTTAATCATTTTTGCTATTCGGTGGCCGTTGCCATTTTTACTTGGACGAAAAAAAAACAGGAAAAAGAAGAGTATGTACACACACTAGCACGCGTATACACAAATAAATAAAATAAGCCTTATATATATATAAATATATATATATATAAATACATATATATAAACATATATATATGGTTTAGATTCAGCCGCTTACATTTTGTAATTAGTAAATGTTTCCTAATTTATCAGCGCATATATTTTTTTTCGAGTAAATAAGCATTTTTTTTAATGACTGGTTTCCCGATGCAGTTATTTTCCCTTTACATCTTCGCATTTGATTATCATTTGAATGTGTCAATTCCGGATAAGATAGGTTTAAGTTGTTTGGCACTTCGAATTTCCAATTTCCGTTTACTCGATTTTTTAATTAAATTGTATAAAGTTCACACACACATACAGCAATGAAGAAGATGATGAGGAAGAGAGAGCGAGATCTGAGAACAATCGATACGCCTATCGAAAGATTTCAATTATAAGCCTAGTACTCAGATGAACTAAAAGGCTGTGTTATGATGTTATGACATTAGACTTTGCTAACTTTGCAGCGAAGGGATATCTGTCCGTTTTTAAGCCTAGTACTCAGATCCGAAAAAACGCCTCGCGAACAGAATCAGGGTTGATATTCATATGAAACTGAATAGAAATTTTTTCGCGAAAAAACTGTTTTCTAGGCTCTGTACGGAGTAGCCTTTTCCCACACAGCACATCCATGAGGAACGGTGGGAAATCTTGACAGATGTGAAACTCCGATTCCCACTGGCGCCATTTACCATCCACCATCCATGAAAAATAGCTGATGCACACAATTTGTTGCGGCGGAAAATTTTTTTCTTTTATAATTTAAATGAATATTAATAATATTGCAATAGTTGTGAATTTGATTCAGCACCAAGAAATATTCTTGCACAATCTAATCATGTTGCTGGACACGGATGATGATAATAATGTGGTCAATATTGACGAGGAGAATTTATTGAAATGGATCTATGTTTTGAAAACACTGAAGCGTGGTCATTTGTGACTGCTTCTAATAAATCCAATCAATGTTTTAAATACAAATATATATTCTAAGTTTTTCGAGAAGCGGTTTGGGACATTTTGGGAGAAAGATGTAACCAAAAACAACGAGGCGTTTTTTAAGGAAAGTTTTGTATAGCCATAGCATTGTATACTTTGGGTTCTTTTTCTGAGTACAGATCAGTCGGAAGGCTGTCAGCAAACAGCGTGTGCAATATACTGCATGAGTTTTGCAGAGCATTCATTAAAGAATTCCCAGTCTACAAACCGAGTTTTTCTGCCTGAGACAATTCTGACATATCAGATGTTTTGTTGTTGTTTTTACCATTTTCCTGTCCGTCATTTTCGTAGTGAATTCCGATTTTTTGTTGTGAATGTCAAATATTTATGGTTACATTTGACAATTTTCGAAAAAATACCGCACAGAAACGTGCGAATTAGGAACATCCCAGATGGATGGTGGAATAACTGGAAAATTTTCGGAACGGCAAAACCTTACGGACCATCCCCGAAATGGATGGTGGATGTTGGCCTGTGGGAATAGGCTAGAAGGCAGTACTCAGATCAACAAAAAAAGGGCGGTATATACTGGAAAAGTATCCGAAGTATTTGCTTGTATTGCTGGTATGTTTCAACCCCCTCGAAAGTTATATTAATTTGATATATTTTGCCAGAAAACACGAAGCAAACATTGCAATATGAAAACAAAAAACCAAATGAAATATTTTAATAATGAAGACAAATAGAATCTACTTAATGCAGTATGATATGAAGGAAAATTATATGGATATTATAATTTATTATTTTTATTAATTTTCATATATGTATATAAAACAAATATTGCTTTCAAAACATTTAAATTCTTTGAGAATTTTCATGTGTCTGAAAATAATTTCTGTGGCCGTTTTGGATTGGTGGAGCAGTACTTGCTCTCTAAACGGAAGACTCGACCAGATGCGATCCCGCCTAAAGCCTAGTACTCAGATCCAAAAACTGTTTGCTAGCAAACAAATGTCATTTATTCTTACAGCGGCCAGTTGTGTGACCAGAGGTGTGCACTGCATTCCGTACGGTTACACTGCTCAGAGAGCTGCTTGGTTTTGTTTAAAATTAACAAAATGCCCTTCTTCGCCTGGGGTCGCTCTTCCCCAGGCATATCCTGTGCTCGCCAATATTTGATTGGCAATGTAATGTGTCTGACTATCAGCACAAGCAGATGGTTATTTACGCGAGCGCCCTCTAGCGGAGAAAATGTAGAATATACATAGTAGATGTAGATAACAGATGAAGCAAAAAAATTAAATTTTTCTTTTTTATACCCGTACTCAAAAAAGAGTTAAGGGGTATATTAGATTTGTGGTAAAAGTGGATGTGTGTAACGCAGAGAAGGAAACGTTTCCGACCCCATAAAGTATATATATTCTTGATCAGCATCAATAGCCGAGTCGATATAGCCATGTCTGTCTGTCCGTCTGTCCGTCTGTCTGTCTTGTTGAGAGCCTAGATCTCAGAGACTATAAGAACTAGGGCAACCAAATTTGGTTTCCAGACTCATGTGATATCCCACTGCTACAAGTGTATTTCAAAATTTCGCCCCGCCCCCTTCCGCCACCACAAAGGACGAAAATCTGTGGCAGGCACAATTTTAAAGATACGATAAAACTAAAAACGCAGTATCGTAGAGAATGTCCATATCTACCAGACTGCCAAATTTGAATCAGATCGGATCATAATTATAGCCAAAATGAAGAAATTAATTTTCAGTTGCTTCCCCTCCCCCTCCCGTTTCAGACAACGCAACTCATTTTCCTTCTCGCTCGCACACTCTGCCGCGTTCAGTGCGCGAGCAACCCCTAGCGGAGGAGATGTAGAATATGAATGGAACATGTACAATCTACATGTTAGATGTAGAATAGACATTGTATATGTAGATGTAGATAGCAGATGTAGCAAAAAAATGTAATATGTAAAATTTTATTTTTTTTTTCTAAAATTCTAAAAAATCATAAGCTCAATAATGTATATACTGACTGAGTACGGGTATAAGTAGAGTCGTGTCCCCAGAAACGACTCACACGTTCCTTCTCGTTTTATTCTAAAATTCTAAAAAATCATAAGCTCAAAAATGTATATACTGACTGTATATACTGAGTACGGGTAAAAGTAGAGTCGCGTCCCGAGAAGCGACTCACACGTTCCTTCTCATTTTTGGTTAAATTTGTGCAAATAAATCTACGAAATTCGTTCATTCGTTCTCTTTCGTAGTGACCAGACGTGTTTTTGTTTGGCGCTCCGCATTTTCCTTTTGTTTAACTTAAACAGCCGGTGTTTTTTTTATCTATAATTTAACTCTCTAACTAGGTCGGCGAAAATCCTCCAGCTGAACCCTCCCAGAGGGTGCCGGCTGGGCAATGGGCACTGCATTATCCCGAATCGGGTAATGCATTGCCGCTTGCTCTGTCCGGGGTAATGCAGTGTCTAGCCAAGGCCAGGTCCAGGTCTTCCCGACCAAAAATTTGGGGGAACTGAACCAAGGCCATGGCTGGAGGTGCCAGGCGGGTAGGCATAAAACGCTAGGGGGTGGTCCCCCCGAAAAATATTAACCAGCATGGACCCACTGGGCCAACAATGGAGCGGACGAAGGATGAAACAAGGGTTGGGATGTCAACCCAAACGTCGGTGGAAAGCGTGGCTGCTACCACCGGCAGGCACGGGGAGGAGCAATCCTCTCTTCGTGTCGCCAGCGGCCACACCTCTGATAGGACGGGAGCAGGTCATATCAGTTGCAATGTCACTGCCACAAAAACGCACTCCAAGTTGAGCCGCACAGGTGCCGTGGTCGATACAGACTCGGACCTGGAGAGCGTGCTCTCTGTAACCAAGACGGAGGAAGAAAGCCTTCTCCGCTCCCCGGAACCAGGTTCCAGCTCCCTGCGTAGGGAAGGGCCGAAGCGTTCCAAGGAGGGGTTGAAGGCGAAGGCGCATTACAAAGCGGCCCTCAAGATCATGGGACGGCTCCAGGGCAGGAAGGACCTCTCTGAGGAGGAGAAAGCCAAAATGACCTGGGCCGAACAACGGATAAAGGAGGGACGGCTGCACTTCTCGCAGATGCCGCAGATGAAGGCATCGACGGAGGGATTTGCCAACAAGGTGGAGAGTCTCGCCACCAAATGGCAACGCTCGACCGAGAGTGCCAAGAAAGACACTCCAGTGAGCAAGCAGCAACGCGGGCCCAAGGTGGCAGCCCCCACACCCAAACAGGCGAAACGTCCCCAAAAAGCGAAGGTCAGTGAGGTGACCAAACGACATTTAATCGTGGCACTCATTGACTGGAGCGAAGAGAATGGCAAAATAACGGCGGCGCGGTGGAAGATGGTGCACGCGCGGCTCGTGGATGCGCTGTTCGCCAGAATGGAGGAGGACCCAACGGCCCCCATGCCCACGTTCGATGGTGCAGGGTGGCTCAACGGGGTAAAAATACTTAAATGTATTGACGACCCCACACTCAAGTGGCTGACGCAAACGGTCTGCCAACTGGAAGCGTTGTGGGAGGGGGCCAAGCTGGAGGTGGTGGACAGGGAGCTAATCCCGTCCATATCAAAGGCAAAGGTACTCTTCCCCATCGTAATCCAAGGGGACCGTGCGCTGAAGCTGCTACAGAGGCAGAACCCCGATGTGCCAACGGCTAACTGGAGGATTCTGCATATCGGGAGCCCACTACCCAACGAGGGGGGCCAGAGTGCGATCATCCAGATCAGCAAGGAGGCAGAGGACCTGCTGTACCCAAGATTCGGGAAGATGGCGTGGGGGATGGGCAGTGTGTACCTGCGGCTGAAAAAGCGCCACCCCGAGGACAAAGATGCACACACTCTGCAGGCGGGCGAGGTGGAGAAGGACCTTGGTCTGGACACCATCGTGGAGGCCGCACAGGGTGTTGCGCTGGACTCGGAGGAAGAGGGGGAGGACGGTGACCTGACGGTAGTAGTCAACCCGTCGAGTGGAGCTGAGCCAGACGCACATGGTGAGTGTGCTGCAGCTCAACCTCCACAGAAGTAAAATTGCGTCGGCGGAGCTCCTCTTTGCCATGGAGCAAGGGCCCGCCGACATAGCCTTAGTCCAGGAGCCATGGGTTGCCTCAGGCAATGCTGTGGCCGGGCTAAAGTCAAATTTTAACGTATTCTATCCACCATCGGTAAGCAGGAACAGAACCGCCGTACTCGTACGGAAGGGAATCCATGCTCACCTTATGTCTCATTACAGCACTGACGATCTAACCGTGGTGATGCTAGAAAGCAAGGAAAGGCGCCTGATGGTAGCCTCCTGCTACATGGCACACGACAGGCCGGCTCCACCTGAAGAGTTGAGGCACCTAGTGGCGGAATCCA